CTGTTTGTTTTCTTTTATTTTTTTTATATAAGTTTTTATTGTGAATTGAGTGATAGTTTACATGTGAGAACATCAACTCTACATTCATCCTATTGTATTTTGTTTCATTGCAGTGACTACAATCCCCTCCATGCATCATCATCCAAATGAACCTGCTTCCAATCCCTTCGTTGTTGTTGTTGTTGTTGTTGTTGTTTTTTATGTGTACACTGAAGCACTCAGGAATATATAACCATTCAAGCAACCAAAGGCTGCCCCCCAGCCACCAGCACACAGCCCCTCTCCCTCCTTGTGTCCAAAGTCTCTAGCCATTCCATCTCTCCACGTCATCATCTCTGCCTCCATCTCTGGCGTCGCTGCTTCTCTGGATAGGGTCCCACACTCCGATCTTCTCCCTTGATGGTCCCAGGGTCCTCTGCTCCTGGACTGCAAGATCAGCCACTCCCCTCCTTTTGTTAGAAAATGTCTACCTTTACATTTTCAACACTCACAATCAGTCCTGACAGCAATTATTCATTATTGAACCACAAGAGTCTTATCCCCATCTCCTTTTACCAGCCCTGTCTAGACAGGTTGGAAACCACTCAGTGGAGATTCTACCTTCCCCTGTACCCTCTGAAACTAATCTCCCTCTTGAAAACTTGTAAGTCACTCACTTTCCTCATTTAAAAATTTTTTTTTAGTAAATCAAAAAGTAAAAGGATATAAAAGCACACTGAAACCATTGAAATAATTCAGTGCAACGCCTGTGCCATGGAGTCAGATGCCTGAAGAAATGTCAAATGTGTTCTTTCTCTCCTTTGTCCATTCTGCGTATGGATAGGTAGGATATGAAGGTCTGGCACCAAATTGATCATTTTACATTGTGATTGGGGAAGACAATTTCATTGGGGTCAAGGGTACTGGCTGGTTTGGAATGACCATGTGTGACTTGGATGCTAACCCCACTGGTATTTTACTTTCAAAACACGTTCCACTTTGCCTACTGCTGACCATAGGTTGTATATAAAGCATATGTCTGGACAACCTCTCTGGATATGGTCTTTTGTCATAAGTTTGAGATGCCCACACAACCAAAGAAGACCATTTAGACCTTGGTTAGGCATTACCTGGTGTGGTGCTATAGGGTAAGCACTGGACCACAAGGTCAGCACTGAATCACAAGCTCAGCACTTCACACTCACCCGCTGCTCCTCCAAAACCCTATACAGGGTTGCTGCAAGTTGGAACGGACTTGATGGCACTTAACAACGAACAACAAGAAGGCATGACTTTATTTTGGATGACCCTACCTAGCTGAACCCCTCTATCTCAGAAGGGTGGTGTGTTACATGATTATCTCAGGACTAAATCATTTGACTCTGCCAATGTCTTCCTATCACCATGTGCAGAAACCAGAGGTGGTGTGTTGATGGAGCCATCCATTTAAATCACCATAGCCTTCACTGGCTTTATGATTCTAAGACTTTGATCTCCTGGGCCAGTTACCACATTCCTCCAGTGGCAATTTGGATAAGTTTTTGAAGAGGTGAGCCCATAAAGGCTTAAAAAAAATGTACTAACAGATTATCAAGGTTCAGCTATAGATTAAACTTTCTTTTTTGAAATCCCATTCAGGGCAATATAGGTTTTCTTCTAAAGACCATTTAAATTGTTTCCCATGTCTCAGAATGTAGCACAAAGGACTCTTGACTTCTTTCTCTTCATCGCACACAATAGTATCTTTTATCAATTTTATACATCCCAAGCTGGCGCCTGTGCTTGTCTTCTGGTGATAAGTTATCCAAAGTCAGAATTATTTCATGGTCCAAAACAAAACCAATTCCCTCACCCCAAATTACTAGTATTTAGTGATTGGCCACATCCTTTAGCAATCTCAACCTTTCTGATTCCAGTTCAGGTCCAAGTTTTACTTGAACTGAGTTGGAGACGAGACTGTTCTAAAATCTCACCCTTGTTTCTCATCCTCAAAGTAGGAGCCCAGAATTAGGGACTGTGTTTATAAATCTCTCTCACTCTCTCTTTCTTTGTCTTCCTATCTATCAGTTGAAATCTCATAGAGAATTTTGATAAAGCTGGTGTCATCCTTGGACTAACTTTCCCCAAGTTTTTATATGCCATCAGGGTGCATGGCTTGGTGAAAGGTTAGTTTCCTCAGGTTTACTCTCTACTCTTGTGCTATGGTCTTGTATGTGTACCGCCGATAATTCAGGACTAAGTTATTGCTTTAATGTGAGGGCTGGCAGAAAAAGAAAAGAAAAAAGCCCTGTTAGAACACAAACTGTGTTAGCTCTCTGTCACCAACTACTCAGTCCAGCTTTGGGCTTCACCTAAATAATAAATGGTCCTATTGTTTAAGCCTTGGTATTAAAAAAAAAAAAAGTTACTCTAAATCTAGATTAAGCAGGGACAGAGACCCATTTCATTGCACTGTACTTTAATATTCCTGGGATCCATGGTCTTAAGGGTGGCTCCTTTTAACAGGCATCTCCCTCCAGGGCGGAACACTATGCTCTCTTTGTTTCATCTGATCTTTCAGCTAAATAAGAGATGGTCACTTATCCTCACGACTCCCGTATCCTGCTGGATTTCTGTTGCTAAAAGAGAAACTGACCACATGGGAAAAGGTAGAGGTTTCAGGCAGGGCATTTCAGCGTGTGTTTACAGACAGTACTGACTTACTCAGCAAATCCTGCTCACAGGAGCTGCAGCCAATGAAGAGGCTATATCCCAGCTTGCTTGGGGGCTTCTGAGTTTGAGCTGCATGCAGAAATGTAAGGCACTGCTTCCTGGCGCTGATGGCAAAATGGGACCCATCTCCAGTGATTCCTCTGGCTTCCCAGCTCTGCAGATCTGGGAGAGAACCTACATAAACATATTGGTAATGTAGCCAGCTTTAAAGGCCCAGGGAATCCGTATGGATTCAGGAGACTGGTTTTTTATGTAAATTTTTATTTTTTATTTTTTGGGGAAGATGAAATGCTTCTCTCGTTACCTGCCTTACATCTTCAGACCTCCGAACACCATCCTCTCTTCCAGCTGCCACACGGAAGGTACAGACCAGAGAGGGAAATGGGTGGGAAAAAGTGGGCTGGTGTGTCAGTTGCCACAGGCTCTGCTGACACTGCTTTCTGTAGCTACCAGATGACTGTCGTTCCTGGCAAAAGCTTGCATCTGATAGACTTAGATCTGCTTCTAAAATCAGCTTGTCTTCTACTAGGGAAAGGAAATCTTTTCTGAGAAGCAGGGTAATGTTTAAAAGGTGCTCTCTACGCTGCTACAGCTGATGAGAAAATAATTGAGAAATACCTTTCCTATTTCCCTGGTTCCATTTAACATGCAAAAAAAGTCATTGGAACTAGTGTGGAGTAAAAAATGTATGTATTTCAGTAGATACTGTCATATACATTTATCTAAGCTCTCGGTGTTGCCAACTGTTTGTTTAATAACTTGGTGCATGCCCAGGAAAGCAATTAGCAAAACAGAAGGAGCTTACTACATATTACTGTGTTGATGGTTTGATTGGTTAACGTGAAGTCTGAGCTTAGGTTGCAGAGTGTAAGAACATAACGGACTTTCAGAACTTGCTGTAAATGGGTTTGTGATGATCTTAAGTTAATGCTTTAAGAAGAGCTGAGCTGGGTGCAAGCAGCCCTCAGTTGTTGTTGCTTCTGGGAATCTCCTCTGCCCCCCCTGTACCTAGTGTGATTTGCATACATGTGTGTGTACTTTCTGTGTGCACACCCTATAAACATTCTGAAAATGTACCTTCAACTAAGCACTACTGGTTTTATCTTTTCTATAGTTATTTGCTGGTTGTGCATCCTGGATATGTGATTTGCCTGTTTCTTTTGATCCAACATAGCCTTACAATAATAGAGCAATTTCAGGAAAAACAACTGGCTAGTCATTTGTCAACTTTAGGGGTTGTTCTACAAGCAGTACTGAATTGAAGAGGGCTCAGGGTGGTGAGGTGCCTGAATCCCATCTCAGATCCAAGCTCTTCTGGAACTGAGCCGGGGACCAACCTGTTCTGAAAACTCACCTTGTTTGTTATCCTCAAAGCAAGAGCCTAGGAATCAGTGCTAGATATATAAAATGAGAAATGCAGAACCCAAATATATTGTACCATCGGCTGATTTCTAACAAAAGTCTAGGGAGAAGGCAGAGTAGAGTTTGGGCTCACCTTTGAATTGAGACTGAGGATGGCATTTTCCATGCAAGTGGACATTTCGTAGATTTTTAAAAATTGGATATTGATATTTCCCTTGCAATTTTTATTGGTGGCTAAAGAAAAATATCTTGGAAAAATAGTTCTTTATTAAGAAATATCTTGTATAGTGCTTATGTATAGTTGGGGAGGTGAAATTAAAATCTTAGAGAATATCTTCCAAGTACAAAAGACCTAAACTTACCTTATTAAGAAAGATGCCTAGATGATTTTTATATTTCTAATAGGTTCCCTTTGCAACTTAGATTTCAAGAACCCAAACACTGTTTCATTCGGTTGCTTTTTTGTTTTAAACAAGCAAAATGTCCTATATCATAGAAGCAAAAAAAAACAACCCTGCAATAACCCCATAGTAATAAGAACTTTTAAAAGTGTTTATTTTAAATAAAATTTACCTGATTTATCCAATCAAAATGGTAACCACATTTTGCTTATATATTAAAACAAAAAACTGCTAAACCCACTGTCACCATATTTAGGGGGAGGGGGAAAGGGGACATGTTTTTAAACTTCTTGTAAGTCTGATAAAGGCAACAGGTAAGGACCGTAGAATCTGGTGAGAACTATCATCATAGATAGAGGAAAGTGGAAAAAGCATGAATTGCAGACCAAGCAAGGGGGGGTCAAGAACTTAATTATTCTGTGCCAACTTTTATGTCTGAAATGGAAACTAAAAGTAAAAATGAAAATAAATGTAATTCTCAGGATCAGGATGTTATGAGAATTAAATGTGATAATACAAAGTTCTTAGAACAACTCAGTGTGTGATGGATGCTATTTCTGAGTTCCACACTCTATGTGTTTTCTTAGCTACTCAAGTTTTTTTTGAGTTTCTATTTATTATCTCTGGCACCATTTTAATCAATGAATCGTTGTTGTTAGGTGTCCTCAAGTCTGTACCGACTCATAGTGACTCTATGCACAACAGAACGAAGCTCCACCTGGTCCTGCTCCAACCTCACAATCATTGCTACATTGGAGCCCATTGCTGCTTCCATTGTGCCAATCCATCTCGTTGGGATGGATTGGGATGAATAGCCAATAAGTTACCAGGAACTACTTATACTTTTGTTTTCTTTAAAGTTTATCTAAGAAGAAAAATATGTCAGTATGAATCTAGTTTGATGTCTTTCTTCCTATACTGTTAGCAATCATGTTACTCTGTAGGTGGTTTGGGAAAAGTTGTGGCTAGGAACTTCATATTTTAGTTCATTGAAAAGTGAAGAGTGAATAATTTGTGTATGTTTCTGTTAATTGTCGTCGAGTTGATTCTGACTCATAGTGACTCTGTATAGAGTTACTAAGGTTACAAATCTTTGCAAGAATAGAAATCTTCATCTTTCTTCTGAAAAGCAGCTAGTGGCCTTGAACCACCAGCTGCAAATTTTTAGTCCAATATTTATCCTACAGATCAACTGCACTCCCCAATTTGTGTAATCTCTGTAAAAGTCCAAGAAATACAAATGAGCTGAACTATCTCCTTAAGAGTAATACTAGAACATCTTAAAATCTTCAACAATTCCTGGACTACTTAGGAAATAAAACCATACTTGTTAGAAGATTTGGATTTTGCCTTGACATGGTTTTGGTGGTATTTTAATTTTTATTTTTTGGGTGGGGGGAGGTTGTTTTGTTTTGTTTTGATACAGAAAGATCATGGAGTTGGAGTCCCAATTCTGCCATATGTCAACTGGGTGACATTGGATGAATTACTTGACCTCTCTGAGTCTCAGTTTGCCCATTTGTAAACTATTGGTAAAAATACCTCATAAGGTATACATCTAGAACACCATGCAACAGCAGCAACAACAGTCTTCTCTTATATTGTATTTACCGTGTCCAGTGTATTATCCAAGTGCTTTATATATAGTAAATGCTTGAATATAGGATAAATTAAAAACATGTGATCAACATATAGTAGTTCATTTTTCCTTCCCTCTCCTACTTTCAGTTGTCAAGCCTGTTTCTTCATCAATCAGAGAAAGATTGGTTTTCCATATTATAATCAAATAACATGTTGAAATGTGATCATGTTCCCACCACACCCCCTCTAGCATTTAAAACTTTTCAGAGCTTTCTCATGGCCTACACACCAAAACAGAACAAAAAAACCTAATTGCTGCTGATTGATTCTGACTCATGGAGACTCTTTGTATTTATTATAGAGTAGAACTGTACTCTATAGAGTTTTCTTGGCTATAATCTTAAAGGAGGCAGATTGCCAGGTCTTTCTTTGGTGGTACAGCTGGGTGGATTTGAATGGCCAGTCCCTCAGCGAGTAGTCAAACACACATCATTGGTGCCACTCAGCAGACACAGGACTCACATGTGATTTTACTACCTGAACTCCCAGCACTAACAATAACATACTATTAGACACATAATAGATGCTCAGTAAATTATGCTTAAATGAAAAGATGACAAATAGGAAGGCTATTGTGTCGGTGAAATCTTTATCTATATGTGGACCATAGGTGAAAACAATTCTGCGAAATATTCATTCCTATATGAGTACATGTTGTTTTACTTGTTGGTTGGAAATGGTCTTTTTATAGTGGTACTTGAGGGAGGACTGGTTTTATTAGAGTGCTCCTCTTTATCTTGAAATAAGAGTAAACAACTAGAAAAAACTGCAACCAAATAACAGGGTTTTCAGAAGACAGTCACAACTGTACTCCCTTCTCTCTGGATCTCATTAAGGGATACTATAGCTTACTTTCTCATGGTTGGGAAGGATTCTTTTAGTAAAATGATTTCAGGATAAGAGGAATAAAATCACAATGACAGCCCAAAAGAAGCCATTCAGATGAGGACAGACGGGGAGGGGAGGCCCAAAGGAACAAGAGAACCAGTAATGTATGAGGACCCTTGCCTGATATTTTCCAGGGGACTCAGTTTAGCATCTGGCATCCGAGAGCCTTTTCTGATAATCTCACAAATCAGTAGAGACACTTTCATTTCCTAAAGGGACAGGGTTAAAATGCCTTGCCACACGCTATTTCCTTTCTCTGAATTTCCCTCTCATTTTCACGCTGCAAACCCCTGCTTTTCTTTTAAAATTCAACTCAAGTCTTTCGAGGAAGATTTCCTAGTCCATCTCCAAAGATGGAGTTGTTATTATGAGTCACACAAATCTCCATAATGTGGGAAGGAGCAATGAGGAGAAACAGCAGCTGTACCACCAAACCTATGAAGACCACTTGCTGTGTTTTAAGTGCTTTGTTTGTGTGAGTATAATCTTATATGCACCTTACAATAATCCCTTGAAAGTGGTGTCATCAACTCCATGTTGTACATTCAGAGACATAACTTGGTTGTAGTCACAAGTTCAAATCATCTGAATCTAAAATCAGTGCTCTTAACTTTTGCATCACACCACACATTTCCTTCTGATGATCAGAGCTAGAGCAGCCATCAGATTTTTTTGAAACTATTTATTTACACATCTATCTTCTGGATGGCCAAGAGCAACCAGGCCACAGGAATTCAACCTTGTTCATCATCAGGCTCTGTTTCTTTGTTTAACATAGAGTTTGACACTGAGTAGATGCTCACCAAATCTTAAATGAGGGTGGGAATGGGAGAATGTACAAATTTGCCTATCTTATGTCAATAAAAGGAGCTCTGGTAGCATAGTGGTTACGAATTGGGCTGCGAACTGCAAGGTCAGCAGTTCGAAACTACCAGCTGATCCGCCAGAGAAAAATGACCTTTTCTGCTCCTGTAAAGATTTACAGCCTCAGAAACTCTATAAAAGGGTTGTTATGAGTCAGAATCAACTCCATGGCACATAACCACCACCATGATATTGGATGTTATGAT